CTGACGGAGGATTGCAAGAGGTACCTTCTGAACGATTTGATTCACTGTGGGAACCTGAAATTTATTATGAACTATGTTATAAATGTGGCCCACACCTGTGATCTCAGCGGCTCAGGAGGCTGAGGCAGGAGGATCACAAGTTCAAATCCAGCCTCAGCAATGGCGAGGCATTAAGCAACTCAGTGAGACTCTGTCTCTAAATAAAATACAAAATAGGGCTGGGGATGTGGCTTAGTGGTCAAGTGCCCCTGAGTTCCATTCCTGTACCAAAACAAAACAAAACAAAACAACCCCCCCCCAACTAAAACAAACAAACAAAAAAAGCAAAACACTGTCTGCCTTGTATTTTAAATGGACCTTTTCCCACATATGATTTTGTAACGTTGTACATGAGCCATCTGAAAGTAATAGTTCGCTGAGCAAACGTAGGTCCTCCAAACGTTGACCTGTTGTAGATCATCCAAAATCACATTTCCCTAACATCACCATTGATCTCAACAGAAAAGTCCCTAAATGCTGGGAATGTGTCAACTCATGATGATACAAGTTTTCCAAAATTCTAAGCTTCTTTCAAAGTCTGAATATTTTCATCATTGGCAACAGTTGACTGGCTTCCTGAGGACCACAGGTGCATTTAGTTGATTCTCAAGAAAATAGCTTCCAAATTCTTAAGTCAGAATAACCACAGCTTGGGAGGTTTTCTCAAGTAAAAGTTGTGTTCCATGTAGAAAAGTGACTATGCTGCTTGCCACACAGACGTGGGCAGCACCCGTGCTCCCCTCCGACCACTCCGCACCTCAACTCGACAGCGTGTCGTGTGGATGTTCCCTTTTGTCACCGAAAGTGTTAAGAAGATGGGAGCTCAGTGGTAGGAGCTGTGATGATCTTGGGCCTTGCTTTGCCTGGTGGAGGCTCCAGTGGCCTCTCTCACCTTTGTTGCTGCATCTTTATGAAAAAAGTAAGAAACAGATTAGTGTGAGACAGCTTAGGCTTCAAGGCCTCAGGACCCCCAGGGGCCCTCAATTGGGACTGTGAACCCAGTGGCTCATACCCATCAAACTCACTCAGCACTCAGAGGGCACACTTACCTACGTGGGCCTGGGCCCCTGGGATGCCTGCTATCAGACTGACCCAAGTAATAGGCCAAGGAAATAAAAATTTAGGAAACCATACTTGCCATCCCAGATTTCTCCCTCTTGCTAGTCAGAATCTAGAAGCTTCTCTGAGTTCAGACACTGACCTGGAGAGACACCAGCTAGGCTCTGAGACCTGGCAGCTGACCCCATTTGGGGATCTTTGGGGAAGGGCTCATTTGGCAGTTGGAGTGAGTCAATTCCTCACTCCTTGCCAAATGTGAGTGGGTGAATGAGGTAGTGGGTGCTCACGAGAGGTCCTGGGGGCTGAAACAGGAGGCAGTCAGATTCCTTTCCTTCCTCACCCTCCTTATACCCGTCCTTCCAAGCCAGGGTGCAGCAGGTACCCACGGCAGCCAGGACCTGGGAGATGGGGGACCTGGGAGGGAAGCAGAAAGACAGCTTGCCGGGGGCCAGCCCCGGCGGGGTCCAGGGAGTCCCGAAGGAGGAGTGGCGTCGGCGAAATGATGAGACAGGAGTCGTTCCCTTTGAGCAATCTTCAGAGAGAGAGCTAAAGCTGCTTTCTCTGGGTC